TCAGAGGAACCACCACACAATTACACCATTTTACATTCCCCCCAACAGTGTACAAGGATTCCACCTTCTCTACATCATCACCGACATGTTACCTTCTGCTTTTTTTTTAAAAAGATTTTATTTATTTTTAGAGAGAGGGGAAGTGAGGGAGAAAGAGAGGGAGAGAAACATCGATGTGTGAGAGATACATCTATCAGTTGCTTCCTGCACAACCCCAACCAGGGTCCTGGGCAACCCAGGTATCTGCCCTGACTGGGAATCGAACCAGAGACCCTTTAGTTCGCAGGCCAGCACTCAATCCTCTGAGCCACATCAGCCAAGCCTGCTTCTTTGATTCTAGCCATCCTAGTAGGTGTGAGGTGGTATCCACTGTGGTTTAATTTGCATTTCCCTAATGAGGAATTACGTTGAGCATCTCTTCATGTGCTTGCCGGTCATTTGTATATCTTCTTTGGAGAAATGTCTGTTTGCATTCTTTATGCACTTTTTAATTTGGGTTTTTCTCTTTTTGTTGTTGAGTTGTAGGAGTTCCTTTTATATTCTAGATGTAAACCCTTACCATATATATGGTTTGCAAATATTTTCTCCCATCCTGTAGGTTGTCCTTCCACTTTCCTGATTAAATGTCCTTTGATGAACAAATGTTTTTCACGTTGATGACGTTCAATTGGCCAATTTGTACTTTTTTGGCTTGTGCGTTTGGTGTCACACTACATATTTTACATTTTGCAAAGGTCCCTCTAGTTTCTGTGGGGAGGACAGGTGAGAGGGACCCACGTGGCCACAGGAAGGCCATCTAGGATACAGTGACCACTGTCCAAGGGAGAGCGGACGGAGGCTGGGATGAGGGTGGGGAAGGTGGAGGGCAAGAGAAATGGAAGATTAGAGAGAGATAGGGTGTGGAGGGGTGGAGTTGATTTAGAGGCTCTGGAGAAATTCAAGGAGAACTTGCAGGTTTCTAGCCTGGGCACTTGAATGGGTGGTGGGTGAACACAGAGGGAGGAGGAAGGACTGGGAGGGCAGGCCAGGAGTTCCATGCGCGAGATGACCACAAGTTCTCCATCCCTGGTCCGGCCCATTCTCACCATTTCACAGATGGGGACAGCGGGGCCTCAGGAAGCACAGCGGTTCACCCGTCACTCCTGAGGCAGAGTGGGGTGGGGCTCCAGGAGCCCTGTCACCCGGCCAGAGCACTTACTCTCCAAGGAGCCACGAGCTCTGTGCTCAGAGAGCTACTTTTCAGCTGGGAGAGGGTGGGGTTTCAGGCCAGATGAGTGTGTCCTGGGCTGGCAGCCAGCTCACAGCCCCCAGAGAACAGAACAACTCTGTTTCATGAGGGCAGCCTGTGCCTTGACCCCGCCAGCTGTCCTGTCTGGGTCTCATGTGGGTAATTTGAGGGTATAAGGGTGTGGGGTACCCGCCTCAGGTGGCTGACAAGACAGAGGCTCCTCCACTCTCCTGGACTTGGCATTAATTAGACCTAGGTCCGGATCCTGAGGTTTCCTCTGTTCTAGCCCTTTCTTGCCATGTGACCTTGGGCCCTTCTCCTCCCCTCTCCAGGCTTCAGCCTTTGCCTCTTTAAAATGAGAACACCCAAGAGGATGGCTTTTGTGCCTCTCAAAATTGTAGTGAAGATCTGATGAGCAAATGGATGGACAAAAAAAGTACTTTGAAAACTGTAAAGTGCTTAAACTTCTATTTGCGTCCAGTCCTCCTCGTGCCCATGTCACTGTCCAGTGGACTTCCAAAGCCACCCCTCTGGAGGAAAAAAAAAAAAAGGCCTGATGGGGAGCTTGGGGACCCAGAGCTCCTATCATCCTGGCCCCACAGGCTGACCAGCCCATCTCCTTGGACAGACGGGAAAACTGAGGGGCAGCCATCTGCTCAGTCTCCAGGCTGTTAAGCCTGGATTCAAAGCAGGGCTCTCTGAGTCCAAAGATGAAAGCGACCCTTATCTGTCCAATGCCCTCATGGAACAGATAATGTCAGCTGAGAGCCAGGGAGGGGAAGCAACGTGCCTGGGATCACACAGGCCATCAGCCGCAGGGCAGAGTGGCACGCGGGGTGCCTGACTCCCAGGCCTTGCTCCTCCCACCGCCCCTTGCCCGCCAACTCCGGGCGCCCACACAGGGGCTCCATCACAGTGCGTAGTCACGGTCACTGGCAGACTTGGGATTCCTCATCAGCCCGTCTTCTTCCCACCAGAACAGGCTGCAGACTTTCTCAAAAATTTCGCAGAGGGACGCGGCACTGTCACATCCTTATGGCAGCCTCTTGCGGGCTGAGGCTTTACTGACGCAGAGCTGTGTTGACACTAGTGGGGGATCTTGGGACAGAGAGGCCACCCCATGTCTCCACCATGGGCCGGTAAGGGCAAAAGTCAATACATCCGGTCTCTCTGGCCTTCAAGAAACACCTGGGGATCCAGGGAACAAATGAGGAAATCTACAGTATTCACAGAGTGTCACACTCTTTGGGAATTTATTGGTGGCCTCCGGAGAAGTTTCTTCCTTGATTTGTCAGGTAATGGAAGCAGAGGCTGGCTGGGCTGGTACCCAATTATAACACTAGATAGTGTTAAGTGAGCATTTACTATGAGCCAGGCGCCTTTCCAAGGGCTTCCCGTATATTAACTCCTTTAATACTTACAGCAAGCCCCTGAGGTCTGATCATTCTCATTTTCTGGCAAGGGAAGCAAGGCACAGAGAGGCAGCATAACTTGGCCGAGGGTTCGCAGCTGTGAGTGGTGGCGCCTGGCCAGGAGCCTGATCCCTCCAGCTCCAGAGCCACGCAACCAACCAGCGGACCACACTGCCACGTGCGAGTGCCGGGAGACTAGATATGAGTGCTGCCCAGAGAACCAAGCCCAGCCCAGCCAAGGCCCCTGAGTGCGGGGCAGTGGCCAGCACAGCAGGACTGCGGAGGGGACAAAGCCTGTGGCCACCGCAGACCGGCAATCAGCCCAGGTTTGTCCAACGGTGAGTTAGAAGCATCCATTGTATCAAGTCGCAGCTCTGCCACTCGCTGTGCGTCCCTGTGCAAGGCACCACCAAATCTCTCTGAGTCTGTTTCCTCCTTATTAAAATGGGGTTAAATCAGTATTGGCTTCATAGGACTGTTGTGAACATTTCAATGAATGCTATGAAGCTTTTAAAGGACTTAGCAGCAAGCTAGGCACAAAGAAAATGCAGATAAATGTTAGCTATTAGTGTTATTATTATTCATTATTTTTGTTATGATTCATTATTGTATTTCATTTTTGCACTCCCTCTCCCCCGGGGACTCCTGTGAGTAGACAAGTTGTTTTCCGTTTTTTGGAGACAGATGAACACACAAGATGGCTTTGGGGACCCCTCCCTCTCAAGGATTCTTGGATCACCCATCCCCGCCCCCTCCCCTTGTTCCTGGCAGTAGCTATAGTCTCTCGGAAGTCAGTTTCCATCTTTGAACCCCAGGTGCCCTGGCTCCCTGCCTGTGGTCCCCACTGGCTGGATGCTGTTGCTATAGCAACAGCGTTTTAAGAGCCTTTGGCCCCCATCTGAGGCGACAGGCATGGATGGAGATGGGCTGATCAAATGTCTCCTGCATTCTCAGACCTGTCTGGATGGAAGAATCAGAGCTGGTTTGGGGTGGGGGGCTAGCCCAGCCCCCAGCCCCTAGAGTTTCCAGACAGCGGGCCTCACTGCTCTGCGTCACGTGGCAAACAGCTGAGCAGTTGGTTACAAGTACAGATTCCAGCCACCGATGGCCCCAAGAATCTGACTTTAATTCTCTGCGGTGGGCCCCCCTAGGAAGCTGCTTTAGATCAGCTCTGCTACTGGTTCTGAGGCAGACAGGCCCCAAGCCACACTGGAGGACATCTTGAGGCTTGGAAGATTCCTGAAGTCACTTCAGTCACTGAGGTTTGCATGGCTCTCCCTGCTGAGACAACTCAGAAGCCCGTGTGTCCTCCTGGGCCTGCCCCGGGCCTGCCTCTCTGTCCTTCCACAGCCTCGTCTGGGGGAGGCCGTGCGCCCCACCCTCCTCCGGAGCCAGGAAAATTCCAGGGCTGGGCTGCCAGAAGGCCCTGTGTGTGGGTAATGCCTTCCAGGGCAGGGACGGGCCCTCGCTCTCTCAGGGCAATGACATTCCAGGGAGGCGCCAGTGGGAGTTACTCTGGGCGGGTGAACGACTACCTTTAACTTCAGAGCGGAGGTGGGGAGGCTTCTGCCCATTGTCCCCAGTCCGCCAGCACCACCTGCTGGAGGGGACCTTGCTTCACCCTTGTCCGGCCCTTGACACCAGCCGAACCCGTGACTCCGGGCACCAGAGGCTGTGTGTAAAGAGAAGCGAAGAAGGCTGGGGGGAAGGGGAAGCAGATGGTAGAGACTGAGGAGACGCAGGGGGAAGGGAAGACAGAGGACGTCAGGGGGCTGAGGGTTCTCTCTGGAGTGCAAAGGCCAGACTGTGGGGACCCTTGAATTTGAGAGAAATGGATGGCCCACGATGGTTGGAGTTGCCAAGTGAGAGCAGATATGCACAAACTTTCCCTCCTCCTCCCCCTCCCCCAACCCCCTTTCCTGGACACTAACTGGCCTCCAGCAGGTGCCTGGTTCTCTTTGCCCAAGGCCAATGGCGCAGTGAACAGCGTGCAGTAATCTGCCTGACAACACCCCCTTTATTCCTTTCCCAGACTCACCTCCCTGCTCCTCCCCCTAGGGGGTCCTGGGATTGCTGTCAAATACTTGTGCACTTGGACCCTTGTCTCAGGGTCTGTTTCAATGGGACCCTAAGACCAGAAGCCACTCCCAAATCTCCCGCTCATAGTTCTGTCTGAGGGCACTAATGCCTCCTGTGTCCCAAGGGGAAGCTGGGTAGCCTTGAACTCCCGCCGGACATGTGGCCCTCTTAAGGCTGAGACCCCTGAACGGTCCATACCGGGATGAGGGAGCCAACCCCACACTCCACTGCACCCTGTCCTGACCGACCTCCCGAGGGTCGTGTCTTTCCACAGTTTCCTGGTGCTTCTTGTCCCGCTAGCGCAGACCATGCACACAGAGGGCTCAGGAGCCACGTCCTGGTGGGCTCAGTCCCTGTGCTCCAGCCCAGCATGCCTGGAGCCTGGTGCAGTGGTGGGGGTGCCCAGCTAGAGGGAGGCAGGGGGGCTTGTCTGGGGCGAGTCCTCCAGAGACGTCTGAGAGTCTGTCCCCTCGGAGGAGGAGCTTCCCCCGATGGGGCGGGGCATCCGACTTTGCCTGGGAAACCGCTGCCAGAAGAGGGGGGCGAGAAAACGCTCAGGGACAGGGTCCAGGGGCTCGTGGGGACCCTTGCCTTCATCAGCCCCTAGGGCCTGGCCAGCGTCCTGGGGCAGAGGGCCTGCCTGGAGATTTCTGTGCTGCCCCTCACGGGGGGCTTGAGGGGGCCAACGGGACTTTGGTGCATGGCCCAGGCCCAGGGGGTCCTGCAAGGGCAGGTCCTGCCTTCCCTTGGAAGTGACTTTTCCGTTCACATCCTGGCCCTTGGCGGCTGTCCCCCGTAGTTCCAGCTGTGCCAGGTGGGCAGCGGCACCCAGTGGGCACGGGCAGCGGGCCAGTGCCGTCTTCAGGAGGGCCTGGATCTCCCCGTGTCGCGCGCGGGCCTCCTCCCACAGGTCCCAGCCCAGGCCTTCGCGGCTCAGGGAGGCCGCCTGCAGGCCCATGGCTGTGAGCTTCTCGGCAGGGAACTCGGACAACAGTCGCTGCAGGTAGCGGTGGAGGCGGCGCTGGTCCCCAGGGCTGGCCTTTTGGGCCTTGCCCAGCTTGAGCTGGGTCATCAGGTCCTGACAGTCCATGTGGAACCAGGTCATCTGGGAGACAGGAAGAGAAGGAGGGGGGCTCGAGCTAGGAGCGGCGCCTGGGGACTCCATGGGGACAAATGGGCTTCTCTGAGCAGAGAGAGGACTCCAAGAACAAGCACTGCTGGACTGAATCAATAACTTGCCCGTAAAATAGTAGGGCTGTGATTTTCTTTGAGGACAGTGATGACAGCGGTCTCCCTCTGTTCCCCAGGGTACACACGCCTGCCTCTGGGGAGTGGCCCACCACCCTTGGCACGCAGGCGTGGTCTAACACACCTACGGGCCAGCAAGGACTTGAGCCTCCCTGGGGCTCATTTCTCCTTCTGTAAAATAAGAGGTTGTATGAGGTGATCATAGAAAGCTTTTTGGGAGCCGAATATTCAGACTCTTGGGTTGCACGAACCCTTTATGAGGGGTCCTGAGCAGGGAGTCTGGTTCATGTTTATGGAGCATCCCTGTCTGCCAGGCTGAGTGTGTCTCACATCTGGTCACACTCAACTGTGCCAACAGCCCATTTGACGGAGGGAGAAACTGAGGCTCAGAAGTGAAATCGTTTGTGCACGTCATACTTCAAGTCAGGGAGGAGCTAGGGTTTAAACTCAGAGAGTATCTTCCAAGCATCCCCTTATGCAGGGGAAACTGGCCCAGGCAGGGCCAGGCCCTTGCTGTCACGAACGAGACCATCAGCCAACTCAGGCCCCCCATCCCCGTCCCCTCACTCCAGCCCCCTCTGCTCCATGTTGGGACTTTGTCTGTCCCCACTTCACCCACAAAATGTCTGCAGGCTGCACAGGAGCCAACACATTCCCAGCAGCTCGTGAAAAACATAATCTTTCTCTCCATTAATTTAGAAGCCGACAGCGAGCTGTTAGGCTGTGGGGATTGGAGAACCATTTTCTCCGAAGAAACCATCTTTCCGTGGATTAAGGGAACTTGTCTTTAGATAAATGGCTTCATATTCGCAGAAGCACACGGAGCTCATGGCTGGGAAAGGGCTCCATAAATCTCCGTTAGAGGCACAATCGTGTTATTATTATTTAGTGCCAAAGCTGCTGCATGCCTGCTCTCAAGCCAGGCCTGGGCCCAGCACTGGCCTGTCCTGTCTGTCTGTCTGTCTGTCTGTCTAGGACTCCATCTTTTAGGCTGAGCAGGACAGAGATGGATAACACCTCAGAAATCATCCTGCCCAAACAACTCCGGTTGTGCTGGTTAAAATTCAGGGCCAGAGAGGAGAGGAGGCTGCCCAGGCCAGACAGCGAGAGACGGCCATGGTGGGACCCCAGATCAGGGTTGCCCCCCGCTCTGCCGGACGACTCCTAGTCCTGGGTCAGCCTCCACATTCCCACACGCACCCACAGCCACCCGGTCAGGCTTCCACCGCGTTCACTGAGCCCCTCTGGGCGCTGGCCTTGTGCCCAGCACTGGGGACAGGACCAGGACCCAGGAAGGCCTGGCTGTGCCTCAGGAGCTCACCTCACAGGTGACAGGCAAGAGGCAAGCAGGTGATGAAGCAACAGTATGCTTTCAGACCCCACAGGGCCCCATGAAGCGATAAGCACAGGGTGATGAGAGAATAGGGGGTGGGAGCTAGGTGGTCAGGAAGGGTCTCTGTGAGGAGGGAACATGCAAGCTGAGCACTGAAGAAAGACAAGAGGTCAGTCAGTCGAGGGGAAGAGCGTTCCCAGCTGAGGGAACGGTGAGTGCAAAGCCTCAGAGCTGGAGCAAGTTTGGTTTCTCCAGAGAGAGTCAATGGGGCTGAAATTGATGAGCAAGGCAGAAGCTTCCAGAAATCCTTAATTCATGAGGCATTACTGCTACTAATGATAATATTAATATTGGTGTTAAAAATCATAATTCTAAATATGAGCAAAGCCCGGGGTGGGGGTTACCTACGTTTAATTTAATTCTCTCAGCAATTTAATTCTACCTGGCAAGTCTGGCACTAGGGCCAGATCATCTGGGTTTGGAGCTCAGCTCTGCCGCTTCCTAGCTGTGTGACCCTGGGTCAGATCTTTGGCTTCTCTGTGCTTCCTTATTATGCACAAAGTATTATGCACAAAGCGGGCATAATACTAGTACCTGCCTCACAGGGTTAGTGTGACAATAAAACGAGGTGTACAATGGCTGGAACAGGACACACAGTCAGAACTAGGGAAGCATTAGTTATTATTGCTCTCACTATTATCACCACCACCATCATCATCATCATCGATGAGGAGCGCAGGCCTGGAGCAGTGAGACCGTGTCTGAGGCCACACAGCCATGCAGGCAGGCCGAAGCCGCCTGGCTCTCTAACCTCTGTCCATGTGGGAGTGGGGGGCCCTTGGCTGCCACGGCCCACCCAGGATCTGTGTGTTACATTGTGTGCCCACCACCCAATCCCAGTGCTTCCCAGCACCCCTCGCGCGATTGACGGAAGTCCTTCCCATGCCCTCCAAAGCACCCTGTGTTTCCTGTCCCCTGTAGGTTGGGGTAGCCTGACACCTGGGAGGCTGGGGTCAGGCTCTTCTCACTTTCTGTCCTCCGTGGTGAGGGGTAGCCAAGGACACTGGGTCTGGGCCAGAGATGAGGGTTCTTGTTCTGGCTGGGTCACAGCTCTCCCAGGCTGCTCCCCTGTCCCCCTAGGCCTCAGTTTACCCATTAGAAAAATGAGAGGTTTAGGAGAGGTAGGGGGCTCTTAAGTCAAATCTTGCTTGACCATCAGCCCTCTGGGGGACCTTGAGCCAGGCACTTGCCTCTTTGGGCCTCAGTTTCCTCATCCGTAAAATGGAAATAATGTTGGCACCCCCTCCCCATAAACATATGGTGCCAATTCCATCAGGCAAGGTTTGCGAAGCACTTATAGGAGGCTCTGGCATGGAGTACACAGGCAACACATGGGCTGTCCTCATAATAATTGTCTACTCTTTATCATCATCATGCCGGCCTGGACATGGCCAACTGGTGGCCATTCCCCACCCTCCTGCCCACCTTTGGAGAAGAACCCAGGGCATGTTATAGGGCATGAACATATCTGTGTTCAAACTCCGGCTCTTCTTTTCTCCAGCTATGTGGTCTTGGGCAAGGCCCTTCCCTGCTTTGGGCCTCAGTTTCCCCATCTGTAAAATGGCCTGATCAACCTTGCCATACCAGATTGCCAAGAGATGATAGATGCAAAGCATTGGCGTTCCTCTTGCCTCCCGCCCCAGTACTCTGCGCTCGCCCCTGCTCACACCATCCGTGCAGGCGAGGTGAGGGCATGGGAAAAGGCACTATAATGGTGCCATGGGTTCTCTGTGTGACCTTGGCTAAGTGACAGCCCTTCTCTGATGCTGTTTCTCCAAATCGGACACAAAGGGGTGAGACACGATTGGAGTTGCTTACAGAGACCTACCCGTGGAGAAAAAGCCTATGTTTTGACTAAACTAATATCCATGTTTAATCCCAACCCCAATCCCCCTAATCCCAATGTTTAAGGAGTAGGTCGCATTTGAGGGTCACTGGGAGCATGCCTGGTACGGTGGGTCAAGCTGCGGTCAGGGATCAGCCAGGCCTGGATTTAGGAGGGTGACTCAACCTCTCAAACTGTCTCCCTTCTGGAAAACAGAAGTAATACCTCCCCGCAACCCCCAGGACTGTGGACTGAATGACAAAGCCCAGTGCTGTGTCTAGGCTGCTCCTTGCCTCCCGGCTGCTGGGATGGCCTCACCTTCTTGCAGAAGCGGTACAGCTGGAGCAGCGTCTCCAGGTCTGTGCGCTGCCGCTCGGCAGCCATGTAGAAGTGGGTCAGCTTAGCCTGGAAGGTCCGCTGCGTGGAGGCAAAGGCCGCCAGCTCGGGAAACTCTGTTCCCCCTGCTTCGCTGGTCCCTCCAGCTGCAGCTTCCAGCTGGGCCGCCTGCTTGGAGAGCTCCAGGCCTCGCCGGTACTGGGCCTGAGGGGGGACGGGAGAGGCATCCACTCAGCTCCCGCCTTCACTGAGGCCTCCCCCAGAGTCAGAACTGCGCCCCCCCAACTGCCCTGCTGCTGAGTAGTGAGACTCCCTGAGCCTCAGTTTCCTCCTCTGCAATGGGGACCCTGGCCTCTGCGGAGGCAGCTTACTTCGCCGAGCTAGTATTCTGCTTAGTGTCATCTTCTCCTGGAAAACTTCCCCGACCCCAAAGTCTTTGTGCCTCCACAGTTTTCTCTTCCTGTCTTTCTGTTTTCCTCCCACCGCCATCCCCCACTGTCCTGGGGGGAGTTCTGTCAGGGATTCTGAGATAGGTCGTCTTTGGATTGGTGGTCCCCGAAGACTTCCTGGAGGAGGCAGCATCCCAGCTGAACCCATTACGATCCCACCTGGTCTCCTCACGGTCTCTGGAAGTCTCCTTGCACTTCCCCACCCCCACACCTTCGCCCTAGCCGTGCTGCCCCCTCCGCTGCCCCCTCCATCTGCTCCAGTCCTGAGCCTCAGTTCTGGGAACGCACTGCAGCCTGCTGGAAGAAGTCCTCAAATTCGACGTGGGTCTTCTCCACTGTCTCCAAGCTTCCATCCTTGGGCGTCAGCGCTTGCAGGCTCCGGCTTCCTTCCTGCTCCATCCAGTTGCTGACCTGGGATGGGGAAGGGAGGTTTGGACATGAGGGGATGATGGAGACACATCCCTGGAGGCTGAGGTCACTTGTCCTGAAGTGGCTGGGCCTGTGTGCATTGGCCTGGACTTAAACCCTCCCAGTTCTGGGGAGAAGAGGCAACTTTGGTGGGTGGGGAGGAACGTGCACTGTCATGTTCTTCAAATATTCAAAGGGGAGAGGACTCCCAAGTGGGACCCCAGAGGGCACATGGCTTAGCCAGCGCCCTGCACAGAGCAGGGCACACTTGTCTGAATGAAATTACAGGGTGGCCAATTTCAGCTTACCCTAACCACTCAGTGCCACCCAATCATAAAACAGGCAGCCTTGGGAGTGATGAGCTCCCCATCCCTGGGGGAATGCACACAGTGCTGGAGAAAAGGCTGCCTGCTGTAGAGGAAGGTGCATGGGCCTGCTATGAGCTTCCTGTGTGAGCCGGGCAAGGCACTGGCCCTTTCTGGGCCTCAGTTTATTCAGGGGCAACATTGGTCAGACGTGAGGATTCAGTGAGGGGCAGGAGGTAACGCGAAGGCTCTGGCCCAGGGGTTGGCACACAGCTCGTAGACAGCAAGCGCAGCTTTTGGGGTTGGGTCTTCACGCATTAAGCACTTGCTGAGTATCATGTCATGTGCCACGCCACAGCGATGCCTGCCTAGCCCTCGAAGAATGGCCAGCCTCATGTCCTTACACCAGAGCAAGTGCCTGGCTGGGGCAGGGCCTGGCGCAGGGTCTTCCCTGTGGGGGAAGGCCAGGCAGCAGCCCCCACGTCTCCCAGGCCAGCCTCCCCTTTCACCTGGCGGATGGCAGCTTCCAGGCGGCCCAGGCGGATGCGGAGCTCCAGCCTCCCCAGGAGGTGATTAGATGCGGTGACCAGGACATGGAGCTGCTCATCCAGGAGGCTATAGAGGGCAGCGGCTTCAGCCAGATGGCTCCTGGGAGGCAGAGGAAGATGAGAGAAGGCCCAGGATGCAGCCCCTGCCCAGTACTCCTGCCCAGTATAGGCCTGCCCTGCAACTCCCAGCAATACTGCAGTCCTGGCCGGGGCATTCTAGCTGCTGACTTGCTGTGTGATCCTGGGCAGGTCCCTACACCTCTCTGGGCCTTCCATGGCACTGGAAGGACGAGCAGACACAGCGGGACTTCCCTAGGAGGGGATGAACCAAGCTGGACAGATCTGGGTTCAAGTCCTAGCTCTGCTACCTTCTAGTTCTGGGACCTTGTGCAAATTTCTCGACCTTTCTGTTTCTCTGTTTTTTCACTTCTCAAAAGTGGAGATACGAGAACCCACTTCACAGATGGCTTGCAAGGATTAAATCGTGTAATTCCTTGGCTCTCAACCCTGGCTACACATTAGAACCTACCCTGGGAGCTTTAAAAATCTCGATGCCCAGGCCAGCTGAGTCAGGTCTGAGTGCGGCAGGGACACTAGTGCTTCCTAAATGTCCTCAGGAGTTGCTGGGATGGGGGCGGGGGGGGGGGTGCGGCAGTAGGAAGCCAGGGCTGAGGACCAGTTCTTACCATTCAAAACACTGAACAAAGGGCTGGCTCGGCACACAAGGTTTGTCAGTGCTTGTTATTTCTATTGCAGTGATGGTGAGTAGATGTAACACCCTCTCCACCCCGCCTCCGTTTTACAAACGGGAAACTGAGGTCCAGAGAGAGGAATCGACCCGTAGGCATGGCAGTTTGAACTGGAGCCCAGTCCACAGCTTTTTCTGATGATGGTATTTTAAAATGGTTAACGCCAGCAAGACATAAATGAAGGATTGTGGATGGGATCTAAATGTGGTAACAAATGGGTAAAGGAAGGGATCGCAGGGCTTTCCAGACACCCCTCAAATCCCACCCCATCCTTCTCTGCCCTGGGGTGGGGTGTCTTACTTTAGGAAGAAAAGGAAAGAAGAGATGGAATAAAGCCCGCTTGTCTGGAGGGAGGCTTGCTCGGGGCCTCCTCATCTGACTGCTGCTCCCTACTGGTCACTGCCCCTCCAGGTGGGAGCCCAGGGTGCGTGAACGGGATGGAAAATGCCAGCTTGCCTGGCGGAAGGAGGGAGGAAGGTGCCGTAGGAGGAAGCTGCAGGGACCCATCTGCAGAACAAACACGCAGAGCAGCTCGCATGGGACCACAGCGCCCCCTGGTGGAGATGCTAGTGGCCAACAATCTGGCAAGGCCTCATGGACTAGAGGGCCCCGACGCGCAGCCAGTGAGAGGGGACCTTCTGGGAATCACAGTGCCAGCCCCACCAGGCCCTGTGAGGGGGCAGGGAGACGGCCCCACACGCGGAACCAGGGCCTACTACTTGCCCAGTGGTCATATCAGCAGGACTCTGCTGGGGGCACAGCCCAGGGTGCAGTGTTCAAGTTTCTGGACCAGGCTGCCTGGGTTCAAGTCCTGGCCCCTCTGCGTCCCAGCTGTGTGACCCTGGGCAACTCAACCTCTCTCTGAGCCTCAGGCTCCTCCACTGTAAAAAGGGGGTACTGCAGGAATGTCCTCATGGGTGGGAATTAAACGAGTTACTATTTGTAAAGCACTTAAAACAATGTTGTGCTCATCCTAAGTGCCATTTAAGAGTTGGTTAAATAAACAGATTGTTGGAAGCTTATGCACACTTTTGGAACTGTGTGCTCTAACAGAGATAAAATATATCCAATTACTGACTGATTTAATTACTGATTTGCCCCTCCCACCCCTAAATTGAAGAAAATCGGTACTTTCCAGGAATATTTATTACTTTTTCTGTGGCTCTGAGGTTTTCCTGGCAGGGCTCAGCTCAGCATCTGGGTCAGAGAAAGTGCTTGGTCCTTGAGTGTGACCAGAACCAGGCAGGGGTGTCCCCCACCCCGGTCCGAGGATGACCGGGGCTGAAGGACGGCAGCAGAGAAGAGACAAGATGTGGGCCCTGCAAACACCCCCATCCTGGGCGTCTGCAGGGCCCACCCTACATGTCCCCAGCTCTGAACTCTCAAGAGACAGGGTGGGGTGGGAGAGGAAAAGGCTGGGTGTCCGTACCTGACATCCGGGTTGAAGTCCATCCTGCTGGCCTCCTGCTGCAGCCTGGCCAGGGTGGCTCCACCTTCTCGCTGGAGGCCCAGCAGACCTGGGTCCCTCAGCACGGCCTCCATCAGCTCCTTGGACTTGTTCAGACACCTGGAGGCCTCCTGCCAGTGTAGGAAGGTGGCCTGAGACCCATCCCCACGCTCCCTCCACAACCCTCCAGGGCTCCCCACACCCAGATCATGCCCAACTCCCCAGTGTAGGCATTCAAGGTCCTGCAGAAAGTCTGTCTTTTCTCCCTCTAAAACATTTCCTCAAGCCACCCCTCACCGCCGTGGCAATCTCATTGGTCCTGCAGGGACACCCAGTCTAGCCTCCTCACTGGTCTTCCTGCTACACTCTGGCTTCCCCTGCAGTCTGTTCTCTACATGGCAGCTGGTAGGATCCCAAAGTGCAAACCTACTCTCTGCTTAAAACTCCCCAGTAGCTTCCCTGCCCGTGTAGGAGGAAATCCCAACCCAACTCCTCTTCGATACAGTCCCCACTGGATCCACAAGATCTTCTAGTTTTCTCTTCACCCTTCTCTCCCAACTCATTCTGTTCCACCTGGCCCCCATGCTGTTCCTGAACGGACCACGTGTAATCCCACCTCAGGGCCTTTGCACACGCTTGTCCTTCCCCTGGAGCCCAGTTCCCCTCTTATTCCTATGCAGGCTCCTTCTCATCCTTCTGGTCTGAATTTAAATATCATCTCTTCAGTGAGGTGGCATTTGGCACATTTCATGGCCTTCGGCACAGTTTGTAACTGCAGGTCCATTTCTTTGTTCACTTTTTAACAGCTTCCTCCACCACTGTACCACAAACCCCCTGAGGGCAGGGACAAGTCAGCTTGCCCCAGACTGGGTCCCTGGGGGCACACAGTTAGTACCCAATGAATATTAGTCAAATGAATAAAAATGAAACCCAGGGATGATCATGCCCACCCTGGCTGTCCCCTTCATTGAGCCCTTAGTCTGTAGAATCTGGGGTGTGGTGTGACCTTCGCACCACATGCTCCTGGCTCACCTGTGCCCCTCCAGGGGGGTCACCCTTCTCAAACTCCTGGATGGACGCCTGCAGCAGGGAGGAGGCCTGGCGGAGGTCAGCAAGGAAAGGGTCCGACTTCTGCAGAATGGAGGCCAGAGCGAGGGTGTCAGCCTGGGCCGGTAAGGAGGGTGCCTCCCCACCCCAGGAGGACACAGCAGGGGCTTCAGGTGGTGGTTCTCAAACCGTAGCTGCATCAGAATCACCTGGAGAGCTGGTTCGTCTCCATGCTGCTGAGCCCCACTCCTGTGTTTCTGACTTAGTTCCTCTGGGGCGGGGCCTGAGAATGTGAATTTGTAACAACTTCCCAGGTGATGCTGACCCTGCTGGTCCAGGGACCACGCTTTGAGAACTACTGTTGCTGGGGATGAGAGAGGCAGAAGGAAGGCAGGCCTGAGCTATTCCCGGGCCAGTGGAGACACCCTGGGGGAGGGGAAGGAAGGGGCGGTGAGAGGGTAGGGGGAGGGGTGACACTTCAGCCCAGCTCCACCACCTACTCGCTGTGAGGCCTTGGGCAAGTTACTTAACCTCTCTGTGCCTCCGCTTCATCGTCTGTAAAATGGGGTCCCAGTAGCTCTTGCCTTATAGGCTGGCGTGAGGATCAAAGAGTGTTAGTCTTCATCATTACCAGTCTTATATTCTGGGTCTACAGGTAAGATTTCATTTAAAGGGAAGGTTTTAAAACAAAAATGTAGTTCGAGAGTCACTGGATTAATTGGAGAAGGGAACTGGAGCCCAGGGGACAAGCAGGAGAAGAGATTTTTCCATACCTGTTTGTACCACTTGAATTTTGAACATATGGCCTATTTTTAAAACAGACAGGATTCTGAGAAGAGAACTGCGCTGTAGACTATTAGTTACTGACCAGAGGTTCTCCGTGGGGGGTAATGCTGCCCCCTAGGGGACATGGGCGATGTCCAGAAACATTTTGGTTGTCATGCACAGAGTGGGCAGAGCGGGGGGGGGGCGGGAGGGGCGCGGGGGGGCGGTGCTGCTAATCATGCTACAACGCACAAGCCAGCTCCCAACAAAAACAAAATGATCCAGCCCAAAATGTGAATAGTGCTGAGGACGAGCAGCCCTGATTCAGAGAACGCCCCGCAGGTACTGCTGGGCACGGGTTCGGTGCAGTTCCAGCTGGCAATCCTGTGTGTGTCATGGGAGCCGCCCATCCTGTGTGTGCTCAGGGGTGAGCTGGGCACGAAACGCCCCCTCGAAGGGTTGCAGTGAGGAGGGGTTGAGGTCACGCGGGAGAGGAGCCCAGCACGGGCAGTTTTCTTATGTCCCTCCCTTACAGCAGGGAACATGTCTGCCTCTGCTACCAGACCCTGAGCTCCGGGGCCATGCGGGTCCACAGAGCAGGCATCTGTATATCTTCTCAGCTAACACCGGCATAGCCCCTAGCAGGTGCCAGACACTCTCCTAAGCTCTTTACCTCCATTAACTCAATTACTGCTCACAACAGCCCCCTGAGGAGATACTATCATTATACCCTCCCCCCATTTTATAGATGATGAAAAGGGCTCAGAGAAGGTATCGACTTACCCAAGGTCACACAGCAGAGCTGGGATTGGAAGCCAGGCAGTTAGACCCCAGAGCCTGAGCTCCCAATCACTCCACTCTGCACCTCTGTTATAAACATTTGTCAAACGACTAGTTTTGAACTGACAGTGTGGACGGCTCCATGGGGCAGGACAGTGAAGGGAGGGAGAGAGGGAGCGAGCGGGCAGGGTGAAGGCCATGGCGGTAGACACCTGGAAGAATTGCACCCACTCGCTGTGGCAGTAGGGGAAGGAGCCTTCCAGGGCTGCAGGAAGCTGGCTGGGGTCCACGTGGTGGCTGAGGGCCTTTAAGGAGGTCAGCACCTCTACCTGCAGACAAAGAAGTGAGTCAGGAGGAGCGGGGACTCGGTGTGGGGGCAGGCGTTTGGGGAGGGCCAGGCTGGCCTGGCCAGACCCCGGCCCCAGCGCTGCTCCGCCTCCCAAGGGCGAGTCTGGCCCTGGCTTTCGGAGTTGCTTTCTGGGCAAGGGCTCTTCTCTGGGAATTCTGAAAAATCCAAATTCGGAAGCAGGTCCAGGGGAGGAGCAGGGAAGAAACAGCGCTTGCAGTGCCACTCTCCCAGCCTGAGCCCACGGCGGACAGTGCTGATCAGTCGCAGCACGCGCCGCCTCCGCGCTTGGCTCTTCCCTGGCCCAGCTCTCCGGCCATCACACGCACTGACTGAAGCGGGCCCTCGTCATGTCATTTCTTTATAATCCTTGTCCCCGTCCCTGGTGACCCACTAAGGTGCTACCTCCTCCTCGAGGCTGTTGAGAAAGGTCACCAAATCCTACGTTTCTCCCAAAGACATGGAGGGAGGGACTGGACAAATTTGTGGTTTGGGGAGACCCACCACTTATCCCAGGTGCTCAAAGTGTGGTCCACGGACCAGCAGCTTCAGCATCACCGAGGGGCATGTGGAAATGCAGAGTCCCAGGCCCCGACCAGCACGACTTCATTGGAACTTGCGCTTTGACCAGATCCCCAACTGGCTCGTGAGCCCATTAAGGCTTGAAAAGCCTATCTCTAGCTCACAATGTGCCTCGTCGCTAATCAGGAGTGAGGAATCTGCAGTAAAATCAGTCCCTGAAACGGGGCAGAGCACGGGGTGCTCACACTTAGGATGGTGGCACATGACACTAATTAAGGGCAGCGGCCGGGCTCCTTCCTGCAAAGTGCCAGATCACCTCCGCGTCTGAGTCGGAGATGCTGAGGGGAACTGGGGAGAGAAGTACAGGAAGAGCAGGAGGAAAAACCGCCTCTGCCTCCAGCTGGCCGTGTGGCCTCGGGCCTGTTTCCCTGTCTGAAAAGAAAGGCGGGAGGGGTTGGCAGGATGAAACTTCTCAAAAAGGTTCCGCGCCCTGTGCAGCTGTCAATCACGTGGTGGTGCCCGCCAGGTGTCACTAGGATTGCCAGGGAGAAATACTTCTGTGACACGGGGCAGGGCCGGAAGGTTGTGGCTCCCAGGCCTTGCGTTTATTACCCTTCACTACATTATCTCAGGGCCTCCCCGCACCCGTGACTTCTTCCGCAGTCCTTCACCCCGCCCCACCCCGGCTCCGTGCTGTCCCAACAACTCCCCTGCGCCTCGGCCGACGCGGCTCGCCCCTCACCTGCATGTCCGGTAATGTCTCCAGCGGAAGAGCCGCCTCCTTTTCCCCCAGGAAGAGTATGGCGTGCATGGAGGCTGGGTCCAGAGCCTGTCAGAAAAGAGCACTTCAGAGCTGCTCTGTCCAGGCCTGTACTAAGCCACCGAGCCTCCCCACTGAGATGCAAGCAAACAGGCCACAGAGCTGGGGAGGGGGGCTCCCTGAGGCTGGTGTGGTGTGGTATGTGTGGAGGGTGGGCCGTTGGACATCAAGAGAGCAGCGGGTCCAAGCTGTGCTGCAAAGTTCCTAAATGACCTGGCCCCTCTGGGCTCCAGTTTCCCCATCAAGATGATGATGAAGAGGAGGAGGAGGAGATCAGACCATGAGGTAAGCACAAGCGAACTTCCGGTTACTCTGCTGTCCAAACCAGCTAGTTAGGAATCTCTTCCCTCCCCCATTCTCAGTTCGCGAGGTGCATGTGACCTAAGTCTAAGCCAATCAGTGTGTCGCATTCCCCTGGTCACAGAGAGTGGTTGATGGATAGACACCTGAGCCAAGTGGGGTTAAGGGGACCCAAAGAAACTTTTGCTGAAGCTTCTGGAAGAAAAATCCCTCACTCTTTCCTATTGGACTTGAATGAAAGACTGTGTGAAGTTAGAAGCTTCTGGGAGGCAGAATGCCACCAAGACAGGGGCCTGGATGAAAAGGGCCCTCTCCCAGGAGAACAGGGCCAGGAGTGGAGAGAAGAACCAGATCTTGGTGACAATATTTGAGTCCTCGAATCAAGCCATACTTGAAGTTGGATTTAACTCCTGGACTGTGGGAGTCACATGAACCAACGGACAGCCTTTCTCTTTAAGCCCGTTTCGGCTGGGGTTTCCGCTCCCTGCAACTAGGAGTCCCTGCTTGGGGGCCCTGGACCCAGCTCTGAGCCCCCCGGGCTCCGCGAATATCAGCAGGCCCCTGGTTCTTGCTAGGCTGATGCTGTCCATCTCCCACTCACCTGGGTGGCCTTCAGGGCACTGACCAGACCGGGGTGTGGAGGCTGCTTCCTGGCATCGATCACAACCGCCAGCCCCTTGGTTTTATCTTCTGGCCTGTGCGTGGTAAACAGAACTGGCACTGTTGCTGGATAAACCAGGCCTTTTAGGGGAAAGATCTAGTGGGAGGCGAGGGAAACTGGCTGCTAGAAGCCTTGATTGATTGGTGGACTCCATCCTGCAAGATGAAGATCCAGTGCCCCCTCCCTCCAGGAAGCCCTCCATGATTCTTCTCCAGAGCACATGGCTCTCTCTTCAGTGCTCCCACAGTACCTCACACAGCTCTCCCTTACACCCTGATAATCATAAACTACAAACCAGCTGCAATGGGATACAGCTGCAGCGGGTAAGCCAACCAGCATTCATCCACTCCTTTTGTGTGGGCAGAATTTGTTTGAGAATCCATCTTCCTCCATATGACCATATCCCCATCACCACCACCACAGGGGTTAGTTTCTGATTGGTTGAGGCCAACAGTGGGGATATAATTTCTTTAGCCAATGATTGGTTTAGATAGGGGTCATCTAACATATTTCTGGCCAATGAGACCTGAGAGGTTTGCTGGGGGACTCTGGGAAAGAAGTCTCTCCTTTAAAAAGTTCTTACAAAGAGCTGTAAGGCAGAGGCGTAGAATGATAAATTTCCTTATCAGATAAGACATTTTGAGTTGGAATTTGTTACTTGCAGCCAAAACACCCTAACTGGTTCACATTGCACTTTTTGGAGATCGCCTTAGATCTCTCCAACTGGCCAATTGTCAGAACTTGTTAAAATACTGATCCTTCACCCCTACCCACACCCCATCCCTGCCCCCAGATATCTGCCATAAGGGGTGGGGCCAGGGAGTCTGTGGGCTTCCAAGTGCCCTTGGCCATTCTGACAACCAAGCAGGCTGGAAAAATAAACCCGCTGCTTTCAAGCCTTATGAGCCAGTTCACAGACAGAACCAGAGGTAGCCAGCGTCAGGTAGAGCTGCGGCACTGCTGTAGTAGCTGCTCACCTGTGCAAGTTGTTTTATTTCACTAGGAGTCCTTTCCCCATCTGTAAATGGGGATAATACTCGCTTTGGCCCCACAGGACTGTGGTGAGGACCAATGACTTCATTACTGTAGAGTACTCAGTGACTGCATAGAGTGGGAGGGACGTTAAGTGTCTGCTATTGTCCTCCGAGGGGAAACTGAGGCACAGAGTGGAGACAGGACAGTGAGAGGAGGCTCTTGGAAGTGACACCAGGGCTCTGACTTCATGTTCCTACCTCATCTGCCTCTGGCTATGCCCCTGCTAGGAGAGCGGTGCGTCCTGGGCTCTGGCCTGAGAGGTTGGAGGGATGGAGTGCTCAGCCCACCCAGCCTCTTACCTGGGGACAGTGTACAGGTAGCAAAGCAGCTTAGTGACCTCTGAGGCTGTGCACCATGGTGTCTCCCAGGCCCCCTGGCTGGTTGACACCAGAAGCAGGGGCCGCCCCTCCCTGTCCCGGCCACCTGGAGGAGAGAGAGCACACGTGCACGGTGAGAACTTTGGTGCAACCTTCTCTACTGGGACCTGTCCTGTGGCCTTCAGGCCTTTGCCCACTCTGGTCCCTGTGCCTGAAATGCCCTTTCTTCCCCAACACCCCCCACCCCGCACCACCCCCTTCCCGTTAACTCTGAACTCTTTTTCATCCGTCAAGACCCAACTCAAAAGCCACTTCCTCAGAAAGGTCATCCCTGAGTTCCTCCTCTGTGCAGAGGTAGCCCCCCTCTCCCCTGGGCTCCCTCCGTCCTGGGCACCTTGCGAGGAAAAGCTCGTGGAATGAGCTTTGGGGTTGCACAGACACCTGCCCTCCCACAGCCCCCTGTGTGGCCCCATGGCCACAAGGTTTTTTTACACTGAGTTGTCATAACCTGTTGCATTTTCTCCTCCCCTAGGCTTCCTGAGCGCAGAGAACACATCAGACTTGTTTCCTGCTGAACCTCAGTGCTAAGCTCAGGGCCTGGAACACCGCAGGTGTTCAATAAGTATTCATTGTAAAGGTGAATAAATATTAAGCGTAAATGATAATGCCCTCTGTGTTGGATGCTGTTGATACCCCACCCAGACCCCCTCACCAGGCCACCAGGCCAGAACACACATCCCCGCAGCCTTAGCTATTGGCTGTCAATGGCTCGCAGATGCCCTCGTCTCTGAAGAATTGCTCTTGGCTGAGCTGGATCATGAGCTCACCCTGCATCCCATCCCAGGATCCGCCTGGGTTGATGACCAGCAGACCCAGGCACAAAAGGCCAGTCCCCTGTGCCTAAAGATGGAAGCAGCTCTGTGGGATCAGACCCCCTCGATGCTTAGCTCGTCCCCCACCCTGACCTGCTTCCCTCACTTCCTTTCTCCTGAGAGCAACCTTCAACAAAATAAATCACTTTCACAAGGATCCCTGTCTCTGGCTCAGTTTCTAGAGAACCTGACCTATGATACTCATCTTGCCTTTCTCGCTAAAAGTAGAATGTATGTACAAATGTACGTATGTGTGGATGGGTAGGTGGATGAGTGAGTAGGTGAATGGATGGATGGATGGATGGATGGATGGATGGGTGTCAGATGGGTAGATGGATTATGGGTGGGGAGGTGAGTGGGTAGGTGGATGGATGGATGGACAAATGTTTGGATGGATACCTAGAAATTGCTTTTATACAGGCTGGGGCAAAAGTAGGCTTACAGTTGTAAGTACATGAAACACAGTCTATTCTTGTATCATTATTTATTAATTATTGTGTTATTTTGCATATGAACTGTAACCTATAATACTTTTGCCCGACCCTGTATAATCCAACTTCTTCATCAGAAAGATGAGAAACCTGAGTGTCAGGAAGGCTCAGTCCAGAACACAAGTGTCCAGAACGTTCCTTGTCTCCCTTTACACTCACTAGCACCTGAAAATGCTCAGTGACCCCACCTGCACCCCAAACTCCCTCCCCTACACCTCCACCTGCCCCAATAATCCCAAGGACCTGGCAGGCACGCGATCCTGGAGTGGATGATCTCCATACTCAGAGCCCCAAGCCTGGGCTCAGGCCCGGGGGTCTCCTCATTCAGAGTGGAGCCTTTCTCTGGAGGACCTGTAGAAGCTTCTGGGAAATCGGCCTGTTCTTCAGTGAGTGGGCCTGAGTCAGCAGCTGGGCCAGATGTTTTGGTTTGAGTTGTTCCAGCTGGGGAAAAGCAACAACAGAGGGTGTTAAGCAGAAGATGAATTTTCCGGGGGTAGGGGTGGGGAATGTCCTTCTGACTAATAATAATAGCTTACAACAATTGATCTCCTATTGCATGCCAGCCTTTGTGCTAAGCTCCTTACTTCTGATGTCTCTTTGAACCTCAGAACAACTATGTAAAGCAGGTAAGATCCCCATTGCTCACAGAGGGCCCCCTGAACTGTGAAAGGTTAAGTCCTTGACAAAGGTCACCCAGCCAGTGTGTGGTGAACCTGGGGTGTGGACTCAAGCCATCGCAATAGAGTCACAACACCTTGCTCAATTCCAAAACCAAAAGACTTCAAGCCTCTTGACCTGCTACCCGGTGCTCTGAACTGCTGAGAGTGAGCAGCCCAGGTGGGTCTTTGTCACTGACAACCTCATCACTCAATCCCACCCAGGGAACAGTTCCTCTGTCCAGCTGAGCAAGTGGGCACCTTACCTTTCCCCAAGCACTTGGCTTGGTTGGGTTTGGAAGAGTAGAGTGAACACAAGACCTTCCAGGGCCCGTCATGCTGGAGCGAGGCTTTCTCTGGGGATACAGGGACTTGCTTCTGCCCCTTCAAGAATGAGAATTTGAGCCCAAGAGTGGGGGACCTGGAAGAGGAGGTGCTTCGCCCAGGGCCAGTCACGGGCTTGGGGAATCTCCAGTTTCCCTGTTTGGTCTTCTCTCCCATTTTGGTTTCGAGGGCTGGAGCAGCAGGAAGAGAAGCCGGGCACAGCCGGGGAGAGGAGGTTTGCTTTGGTCCAGGCCTGAGCTGGACCACATTCTCTGCATTTCCCAGAGACTCCTGTGCCTTGGAGGCAGCAGGCTCTTCTGAGACATCTGTCCTGAGGCCAGAGGCACAATGCAATGGCTTCTCAGGGACGTTGAGGTAGGGCTCTTGGGGCTGCTCCTCTGAGTTGCGGGAGGGGCCTGTATGATTGACCTTTCTCCGCAAGCCCAAAACGCAGGGCTCCTCCTCCAGGCTTGCTGGCTTTGCACAAACACATTTTTCCAAGGAAGGTCCCCCACCGGCCCCTGAGAGAGGCAGCATCCTTTGAGAGAAAGGGGTTTCTTTAGGTCCAGATGGCTCCTCCAGTGTCCTAATAGGACAGCCACAGGATGTGTCTGCCTCCTTATTCGGAGACTCTCCTCTGCTCTCTTGGGAAAAGTCCAGGAGAGACACATAATCTCCCTCCAAGTCTTGGCTGGCCACATGGTCCATCCTGAAGGCCACCTCCCCAGGCCTCGCTTGTTCCACCTTGATGAGCCCCGGATACTTAGCCCCACGTGTCTGGCCCTTTTCCTTGGCCAAGCTCTGGCCAAGAAGAGCCTGGCTTCCTGGGGACCGGGCCTGGTGCAGCTCTTGATGACCACTCAAATCAAGTGCCTCTAACTGAAGGGACCCCCAGGCCGGGGAGAGAACAGTCACTGCTTGGGGTTTGTCCTCCACAAACTCTGGGCTGGTTATCTTGGTCCAAGGCACAGGGGTAATCCCTTCTTCTGAAGCTACCAGGCAGTTGTGTAGGGGGCTTCCCTCAAAGTCACTGTTGAAGGCCTCCAGCCACTCTTGGGTGAAAAGTATTGGGTAGGATGACACGGGAACAGGCTTCGTGTCCACTGTGCGGAGGTCCAAGGAGAGGCACTTGACCCTGATGCAGACGGACTGCTCCTCCTGAGGCTCCACTTGAAGGTAGAATTCACCCTGGCGCAGTAAGAGGGGATTGAGGGCGGCCAGGTGGACCACGACCTTGTCCCGCAGGCACAGCGGCCAGCCCTGATGCAGGAAGAGGCAGTGTGAGTAGGGGGCCTGCGGAGAGAAGGGGAGGACGTCAGAGAGTCTGAAAGCCCCACCCGTGGGACTGCCCCTTCCTCTCGCCCTCCCCTCTTCAAGAAGGAATCATGGACAGGCCAGGGGCTCAGGTGAGGAAGAGAAGTGCCTAGGATGTAGCATGTCTCACAGCCCTGGGAGTGAGTGCCTCGGCCGTGTTGAGGTTCTGGCCCTGACCTTAAAAGTACTTGCTAGCTTACTGGCCCAAGGGAGAAGAGCTGGAGCTCCAGGCACTGGTTAGCAAGCACCTTCCCCATGCAGATCATCCTGCTGATACATGCTCCCTTCTCCTCCCCATGAGCCATGCGTTCCAAGGTCTGAATGGCAGATGTATGCAAATTACTTAACTCCTTGGAGCTTCTTTTTTTCCTATCCGCAAATAGGAATAATGATACATATTTGGATTATTGGGCTGGTATGAGAAATAAGAGCAATGATATATAACTTGACACAACACTTGGTATATGAAAGACATGTGTTCAATAAATATTAGCTCCCTCTCCCTTTGACCACACTTATTGTACGGAAAAGTGTGGGGATTTTCAATTGCAAAAACAAAGAGGTCGTTTACTGCTTTTATACCATTTTCTAATTTCTAAGTAGAGAAATTACCGGGCGAAGTAGAAACAACATTGAGTGAAAGTCAGGAAATCTGGCCCTGCCTCACTATTATGGGCTTGAATGTTTATTATTTATTTATTGGTTTGTTTACTGTTTATTTGCCATTAGTGGTAACAACATAGCAAGTGAGGCAAAATTTAAAAAAATTTTTTAAACAATAGATGCCAGCAAATTCTCTGTATAAGTAGACACAGCAAGTCACCCTGGAGCAGGCCTGAACCCAGTAATTGGGCTTAGTTGAACCTCTTCAGTAGGCTGTACGGGACCAGTGTTCAACAGTGACACCATGTGGCCACACAGAAAGAACACTCCATCAGACTGACTGTGGTAGTTATTCTCTACCTGGCTTTGGAAATGAGTCTAATTCCTGTAGATTGAGTAGATCCTGGATAATCTTATATAATTTGGATGTGTATATGGGAGATGCTGATTCCTGCCAATTAAGTAGCTGTTTCCTGGAATTATTAATTGGGGAAATAATGAGATTTGTCCATACTTGTACCCCAGCTTGATAAACTAGTTTATATCAGTTACACTGTAGATCTGGCTATCGAGCCTGGATGTGAACTTGGGGTTTCCATGGCCTATGGGAACTGTTAATTCCACACTGCTACCTACCCACTGTTCAGAAGTGACACAATTTCACCTATAATTACAATGAAAGTAAAATCATCTATAATTAGAAATAAAGAAACTGAAAGGTTGTGATCCTTGTTCCTGAGAGAAATGGGGAAGAGGATGGTACAAATGCAGTTTTAATGGCCAAATAAAGGAAGTGGGTGGTTGTAGAGTGTGTCAGGGTGAAGAAATAAGGATGAGAAATAAGGATGAGTGCATGAAGTTTTGCAATGTGGATATGTGGAAGGTGGCTACAAATGTTCCAAAGAGACTTCCTTCCCTATAATACCAATGCATGTGTATGGAGCTATTTCTATGTACCAGGCACTGTGCTAAGCATGTTAAATGAATGACCTCGGTTTCCTTCCAGTTCCAACCATCTCTAATGCTGGTTCCTAAGCTTGGACTTGTAGCTGCCACAGTGCATTTCTTTCTACCACTGAAATGATGCACATGGCCCCCATCCTTACATTTTGCTCCTGATATGTCATGTCCCTGTCCGGCATCAGGAACTCAGGAAAGACTGAGACCCTCTTAGTGATCCTTGAGGCTCAGTGGCCGGAGGAAGGGTATTATAGCAGCATGGCAGAGCACAGCTGGCAACCCGGTGAAGGGTAAGGGCAAGTTCCAGCAGTGGGCATTTTGAGGATTTGGTCTCTAAATGCCTCTCCCTACCATTTTCTTGAAACAGTGTCCACCCTCTGACCATAGAGGCAAGCATAGGACCCAAGGCTGGCCAATCCTGGTACCCCATTCCGCTGGCTGCTGTGATTGGTCCAGGAATGGACATAGAACCCAAGCCTGGTCAATCAGGATCCTTCCTTGCAATTTTTCTCTCTGCAGCTGATGGGGAAGAGTTACTTTCCTCTCCAGAGCAGGATTTGATCCCAGAGCTGTCTTGGGCTCCAGCCTTGTGGGAACACCTAGCCTGTAAGACTGATGCTGGCAGGCAAGGACAAAAAGGAGAAACAGAGACACACAGGGTCCTTAAGGGAATTGATCAGTGAATACATTTGGGTCAGAGGCCAGATCACCCTGTCCCTGTCTGAGTAAGGACTCATCATTTGCAGTCAACGAGTCCCACCTAAAATGCTTTTCGTTCCATTTGCCTCAGGAGACATCTCCCAGAGATCTGGGTTTGCAGGGGCCTAGGAAGAAAGGACTCAAGGGCCCCAGGGAACATCTGGAACATTCTCTAGCCTGGCGATTCCCACAGTGCCAGCCCCAGGGCAGGCTCCTGGAGCGAGGGAACCCACAAGGACGCCCTTATCCAGGCTTTCCTCCCTGCCCGTGAAAGTGCAAACATGATGGACTCCTCGATGTCAGAGAGTAAACGGCCAAGGGGCCTTCCCCCTTCATTCGGAGGGCATTCCTTCCGACTTACACAGGCTGCCTCGCGTACTTGCTCACACAGGCGCTTGGCAGGGATCAGGAAATCCAGGAGGAAGCTCAGCCCATCCCCTTGGAAGTCAGAATCCAGGAGATGAAACACCTGCCCCAGGACAGTGGGCGCTGTGGCCTCAAAAGGAGGATAGAGGCCTGCCAGGGCATTCTGAATGGCTGTGTCCAGGGACGGGGCGTCCTGTGGGGGACAGGAGAAGAGGATGAACACTGACAGTTGCAGTAATAACGAGAGTAGTGGCCACTTCCCTTCACCTTCCAGGCCCCATGTGATTAAGGCCCCTGCTAACTCTCTGACCTCCTCTCCCTCTCCCTCCCCTCACTCACATCCTCTACCCACATCAGCTTTCTTTCCTGTTCCTTCAACACACTGGGGACCATCCCACGGCAGGGCCTTTGCACTGGCTGCTCCTTCTGCCTACTCTTCCTCAAGATATCATCATTCCCTCCCTTCCTTCGGGTCTTGGCTCAAATGTCATTCTCTCGTCCAAAGTGGAAAGGAAGAATGAAGTAAGACATCCAGGTCAGGGCTGGAGGGAAAGGGGAGGTCGGCATCCCCAAATCCCACCACCTGGCTGACCTGCAGACCTGCATTTCGAAGCTGAGCTACGAGTGTCGCTGGTCCTAGATCCGACAAGCCCCAGTCAGCATGAAGTGCCTGGGTGATGATGAGTCGTGGCTGTTTTTTACCACTGAGTTTTGGGGTGGCTTGTTACACGGCAATAACTAATCGATACACGTTGATAGAAAAGATAGGTGAGCTCCAGACTCATATATCCAGCTGCTTTCTGGATACCTCTCCTAGAGGTCTATGGGACACAGGCCATCAGCATATCACACCCAAGTCAGTACCTTCCTAAACCTACTCCTCCCCCAACGTCCCTACGTCAGTCATGGCCCCCCGATCCAGCCCGTTTCTAGGCCAAGAGATCTGCGCACAATGCGACCCCCTCGTCCTGCCTCCCCCGCCCACAACCCTCGGCATGTCCTATATACAGTCTTCTTGCCTCCAACAGCTCACCCATATACGCGCTCCGCTCCATGCTGCCCCCTTGCCCCCACCCTGACCCAGGTCCCGTCATCTGTTCCACTGAATCCCCTCCTCACTGGCTTCCAGCCCCTGTCAGCCTCGCTTCCAGCCCTTCTCCACCAGCGCCCCACAGTAACCTTTCTCAAGTGCAGAAAAACCTGAAAGGTTTTTTTTCTCCATCTCCTGCTCTAAACCTGAAAGACACCCCCCCCTTCAGGAAGCATTGGCCTCCGGGCACCCAGACCCCCCGCGATCCCGCCACTGTGCACCTCTCCGGTCTCACCCCCGCTCTGCTGCCTCTCTCGCGCTTCCGCCGCAGTGACATGTGTGTCCTCTCGCTCAGCTCCAGGCCTTTGCACATGCTGTTCCTTCCCCCAGGACACCTTCCACTTCCATTCCCTCTTCATCTGGCTAACTCCTCCTCATTCTTCAAGATTCAGGTCAGCTCTCATTTCTTCCTCGAGATTTTTCTCTGGCCTCCTTTTCCCCACCCCCTTGGGTCACGTGTCCCCTTTCCTGGGCTTCGATGGCACCCCGGTCACAGCGGTTTCCACACTAATTGCTGTCTCCCCCAGTGGACTCCAGGCTCCTCAAGAACAGGAATGGTAAGCAGAATAACGGTCCCCCAAAATGCCCACCCATATCCTAACCTCTGGAACCTGTGAACATGTTACCCGACATGGCAAAGAGGTATGGATGTTGCAGATGAAATAAGTTGGTGATCAGATGGCCTAAAATAGGGAGATTATCCTGGATTATTCAGGATAATAATCCTGAGCTCAGTCACAAGGGTCCTCAAAAGTGCAAGAAGGTGCAGAAGAGGCAAAGTCAGAGGGAAATGCGACTGTGGAGGAAGGATCCGAGGGACGCAATGCTGCTGGCTTTGAAAATGGAGGAAAAGCCAGGGCATGTGGATGGCTCTTAGAGGCTAGAAAACACAAGCAAACATTCTCTCTAGGGTCTCCAGGAAAGAAAGTAGCCTGCCCAGGCCTTGATGGGAGCCCAGCAAGACCCACATTGGACTTCTGCTGTGTGGAACTGCAAGATAACAGATTCGCGTTGCTTTAAGTTACTGTTTATGATCATTTGCTTCAGCAGCAATAGAAACTAACACAGCAGGCGCTGGCCCTAGTCCTCTAGGGTCTTTAGTCCTTGGCACAAAAATAGGTGCTCAATAAATGTTGTGGAAAATTGAACAAAATATCCCTCCCTCAACCACAGTTTTTCCATCTATAACATAGGCAAGCTGGTCAAGGCCAAAGGTTTCCATTCCGATACAGTCACAGAATCCATGGCCATTCTGGTTGTCACAGACTGGTTGCGAGCCCCGAGTCCACCAATCCCTGAGGAAGGGAAAGGAAGAGGAGAATAAGCATCCTCATTTATGTAATAGAGGACCCTGGAGGCAGGGAAATAGGACAGAGGCTTAGAGGAGGAGGAAGTTGGCAACTCTCAATCCCAGCAAGATTCTAATGTCAGGCAGCTACAAAACAGGGGGCACTTAGACAAATGCCAGTGTTACATTGTGTCTTCAGTACCCAAACCGTTCTGAGCACACGACAGCACCCCTCGTCACTAGTTGCAGAATGAATGAAGGGATGCCCACCGCCCCCACTCTGAAGGAAAGAGGGACCTGGTGCTGTCATGGTGGTACACGCAGAGGGGACCACGTACTGGACGTCGAGAGAACACGTGCCCAGGAGGGGCTCTTTTCACGCTGAGGTGGAAGACGGGCTTTGATTTGTTAGAGTAGTTGGCTCATCTGGCCTGGTAACCTCTTTCAATGCCTTCCCCACCCCCAGCAAGGCTAAACCCCAATAGTGATTTAGCCCCCCACATGCAAACCTAATGTTAGCAGTGGGAACGGGAACAGGGAGTTAGAGGACACCCGTGAACACAGACACAGCAAGTCAATTAGACTGGCACCCCGCCCTTCCCACACGTCCTCCTCGCTCCACCCAGCTTCTCCTGGGGCTTGGGTTCCCCTGGGGTCCACCTCCCTGTGCCGCCTCGGGCAGGTGCCTTCCTTCTCTGGGCTTCTGACCTTGCGGGCGCATGGAGGTGGCCTGAGTTTGTTTCATTTTGTTTTTAGAAATTTAGTCAAGCACTGTCACCTTCATGAATTTTAGCACATCCTAGCACTGTCTGTGCTACTAGCACTTACTGTTTCTCTTCAAATCCAAATTCACTCAACTTTCTAGAGACTTACATAAGTGCATTTTAAAGGGAGACTCTGTCACCATACTGGTTATGGGAACATTGCCAGATTGCCCAAGTTCAAGTTCTGGCTCTGTCACTTACTGATTATGTTGCATGGCAAGTTCCTTAACTCTTCTCTGCCTCAATATTTTCATTGATAATACTAGAGGTTATACTCATATCTGTTGAGGAAGATTCAATGATATAATAAATGTAAATTCTCTGCATGGGCTTACCATTTAATAAGTACTCATTAAGCAAGAGCCATCACTGCTATTTTTGTGTTCATATTATAATTATTGTATCACCACTTTAAACTGAAAAATCAATATCGACTAGCAGAAATAGAATGAAACTCCAAAAATAAACCAGCGATGCATTGGGTGGTTTTCAAATTATTTTATTTATATAAGTATATTTACATTTATTATTATCATAGCTATAGCATATATCTTATATAATTATATATTTAAGATAACATAACTAAAAAATAAATATACATTTCTTATACAAAATATTTTATTTTACTGTTCTATTTCTATAAAAAAATAAACTATCTTTTAATAGAAAAAGTAATAAAGGAAAACAAATACTGCCATTAAATCTAGAGACAGCTGGTCACCTCCTAAAGGCTCAACGAGTTTCCTCTCCTTCTTCCAAAAAAAAGATTGCCCTGCATTTGGAAGGCGTTAAAGGCATCTCATCATGGGAGAAAGGCAGAGCTTCCCTCTGGGTCCTCAGAAGACCAGAGGAAAATTCAGAAGGGACAGACCCTCTCGTACCACGCAATCCCATATTATTTAGTTCCAGCCTGAGACAACCTGTGTCCTAACTGTGGTCTGCATCCCAACCTCTGGGAGCAATGAGCTAAACCAATGAGCAATGAGCTCTTCCTTGATGTGCCTCAATTTCCCCATCAGTAAATGGGGATTCTAGTTCCTACGCTGTCTTGCTCAGAGGTTCAAGTGGAGATACAGGGAAGTAACAGATGTAGGAGATCTTGGGAAAGGTAAAAGGTGTTGCTGCTCTCATTACTGTTTTTAATTATCTATTTTTACTCACCCCATCAGATAAAGCTCAAGTCCCAGCCCATGTGTAGAGACATCTTCCCCTTCTTGGTCCCTTCCACTTACTGTCACCCCAAGAACAACAGTTCCCAGACACCTGATGTGTACCTGGCCCTCTGCTCATACTTAACTGGCTTTGCCACACAAAGATCTTCAGGGCTAGGCAGGAACATCCTATTTTGCAGATAAAGAAACTGAGGCTGATTTGCCCAAGTTCCCGGAGAGAAGACAGAACCAGAGTTCAACCCAAGGCTGGCTCAGCTGAGTCTGCCCTCTTCTTCGGTCCCTTTGTGCCTGCCTGTCTTGGGACCACCAGCAGCCACCAGCCTCGGGGGTGGTCTGTCTTGTGCTGTTTTGAGTGGGGCCTAAAAAAGCTGTTTACCCCTCCACAGACCAAGGCTCGCAGGCTGGGACGCCCTTGGCTTTCACGAGTTGGCTCAACAGCCGGCACACACGGTAACCATTTAAGGGGCAGCCAGTAACGAGAAAGAGCATTCCAAGTTAACAGGACTCCGAGCTCTTGGCCGGAGCATTACCTGCTACAGGCCTGAACCCCGGGGGCTCGTAAGCTGTCCAAGTATTGGAGGAAGCACGCCGTGAAGGGGACCAGGCGGCTGCAGGAAGGAAAGCTGGCGACTCTCCATTCACAATCAACCTGGCAGCCCAGCCCCGGACCACAGGAACCCAAACACCGCCGACCAGACGTGGGCCCCTCAAAATGATTTCCATGAAACTTAATCAATGCCTTTCCATTCCTTCTCGGTGAGCGCAGCCCGGCCGGGCCTGTAACTGTTCCTCGGCAGGAGCCCAGGCAGGAGACAGCATGAAGCTGGAAAGGAAGAAGTGAGACAAGCCAGAGCCAGCGTGCGGCCCGCGCCCCTCCCCGGCACCCCAGGGCCAGAAAGGAGCCCCCACGGAGACCGGCGGAACCGGCCCGCACAGCTAGCACCTCATACGACGCTCACGGACCTTCTGGACTGACTCGGGGACCTCATGCAGTGCCAAAGAACACAGAGAAGTATCTGTTCCCGGCAGTTCCATCTGGGCACGGGAAGAGAGAAAAGTAAGGTTTTGTATATTTCCTTCTCCATGTCTTTGTAATGAGCCACCATTATTGTAATCCTGAGTATTACCTTCTATAGAAAAATAAACAAATAGGAAGCGCGCGGGTTGGGGCATCTTTACCTACGTATAAACCTCTTGTAACTGCTACCCAGATTAATGTACAGGATTTCCACCACCCCAGAAAGAGGCCCCCTCCCAGACAACCTGCCCCCACCCCACCCCAGGAGTAACTGTTCTTTTTTCGGAATTTGTTAAAAGAGAAATCCCCACACAATCTGCTCTCCACTGCAGAAAACCGTGTGTAAGCCAAGAGCCCATCAAAGAGTGTTGTTAACTGGTCCCCCCCCCCGCCGCCAGGGCCATGAGGGGCAGGGGCCTTGTAAGGCGCCGTTCTCATTTTCTTCGTAGTTTCGCTGGATTTTCCAAACATTCTGTAACCAGCCTGCAGAGCTTTTATAATCAAGGGGGGAAAAAATAAAAGTGTGATTGTGTGTGTTTTTAAGGCTGGTTCTCTATTTAAATGGTCTCACCAGATGTTGTTAGTCGGGCCTTCGGAGACATGGGCTGAACTTTTTTTAAAGGTCCAGATTTATCACTTGCTCCAACAGGCAAAGTTGTAGTGTCACCTGGCGTCGGCACCTCCTGGCTTGGGAAGAGAGAGGACTGAAAACCCGAGGCCAGCGGTGGCTTAGGGGTGCCCTCAACTCCTGCTCTCCACCGCGGCGAGACGCCTGGGGAAACTGGCATGACAACCTTGACTCACTGGGCGATGCTGGCATCGGTTCCCCAGGTGCAAAATGGGGACACTGGGTTCCTCTATCCCCAAGGGCCCTGCCAGCAAGGCCGTTCTAGAATTCAAGGCATAATGAGGCCCAGGAAGAGTCTAAACTGGCAGGGATGTGACAGGTGACACGGAAGGCAGAGTGAACCAGGTGGGAGAAAACAACCGCCCTGGCAGGTGACAGCCATCCTCCATGCCTGGGAAGCAACGGGGACTCATGGGGCCTGGAGCAAGGGCCCCATCTCATCA